ACAGTAAATAATAAAATACAGCAGGACACTGTTCATTGAGTATACCTCCATCCTACATGCTAGAAAAGAAAACAATAACTTTCAAGTGTGTTTGTTTTAATTTTTTTTTTATCTTATTCAGTTTCCACAGAGAGTAAAAGCAACAGTATTTTCGGTACAAAATATACAGTACTTTAAGAAATGTTTATACTATTCTATCATATAGTAGTATCAAATCAGTATAGTTTTCTTTATTAATGAATAAAGTTTATTGTTTATAATTCATATAGCTATTGGATTTACTGCATTCTGCGTTTTATGCATAAAACACGTAAACTGGATTAGAGAAAGTAAATAGTGGCAAAAAATAGAACACGAATACACACTACTTATTTCAAGTTGACACATTTTAAAACATTGCAGTAAACAAGTAGAAGCATAAGATATACTGCAAAAATGACATGGAAGGAAAGATAAATTTATGTAAGATAACAGACCGTATAAAAAATTTATTCTTCAATTATAACGCTCAAGACTAACAAATATCAATAATAAAAATCACTTATATCCCCGACAAGTATTTTAAAAAATTTTTATCAACTTTTACTACTTGGCCTTTGCCTCAGAACCATAACAACAATGCTGCAAAATCTTTAAAAATTAAATATCAATTATATTTCCATATAAATTCGTTTATCACTTAGTCTCGGAGTAACATCCTGCTGCATACCGCATACTACATGAATAAGCGGTAAATATACTGATACTTTAACAAACTGATACATTAACAAGCATCCAATACGATACTATGAAATCAGGAGCAGTTAGAATTACAAAGGAGAAAAACTGTGTGACCTCTATATTTTCTTCAGTCTCCCAAATATTAAAATGGATTAGTTGACAAACACTGTCCGCATGCTGGTGTATTCTAGGTTTAAGTAAGTCAGATTTAATATATCTAATTGCTTACAATAATTATTATAGGCTTATCAACATTATTGAAAAGTAGCACTGTCCTACAATGTGTATTTTCCATAAAATTTCGCATATCTAGACCGTAATTTTGTGAAATTGTTTCATTAAACACCAATATCGTTGTTGTTTCATAGACCATATACTGCAATGATATTTGTAACTAGGAGTTTTGGTATTCACATAAAAGTATTCTCTTGTATGTAAAATGATTTTCTGTAAGTCTTTATCAAACCTCCTAGCGCTTTTAAATGATCGTTATCGAGGTAAACAAAAGCAAGTTGCATCATTACATGGAAGATATTTAGAATTAGCTAAAGGAATCATCGAATTAGCTGCATAGATATTACGCCTGTATATTCAGTATTTACTACCAACACGTTACATCAGATTTATTAAGAATGGTATGAATATGTCCTGTATAAATAAATAACAATTAGAAAAGTTATTGAAACCACTGGATGTTAGTTTTAGCCATTAGAAAAACTGTAAATTTTCAAAAACAATTAATTTCAATTTTTTGAAATCCTCTACTACCAGAGTATAGAAACATAGGATTGCCACACGAAGCGAGAAAACGAACGACTTTGTCACACCCGTTGGTACAAAGCAACTAACTACAAAACGTCTCGTCCATACTGAAATAGTCATCACCTTATTAAATCAAGACGAATACAATCTACAAAACTAGACTATGTGGGAAAGTTTAGAAAATTCGCTGCCATCAAGCATCAGTTAAACAATATTATATGTCACCTCTCATCTCAATTATCAATGACAGTTAAAAAATACTACAACGTGGGAACCCACGAAGTGAAAGAGTATTTTCTGGAAGATTGTACTCCAACAAAACGGCAGCCAGCACATGAATAAACGTCATACCTATCAACCAACTAGAAAAGTCATTTGGACACGTCAATAATTTATCATTAGATCAGAGAGAAAACGCGAACTATTCGATCAACAATTCACTATTGAAAATATGAGCGTATGACAAATAACTCCATCAATACAATTATATTATGTATCCACATCTTACATGAACATTCATGTAACAAATTAACACTAAACTTTTCCATCATGAAGTCGTCTAGTCTGCTGGGAAATTCATGAAGAAATATCAAACTTGGGAAGAACAATACACAGTTGTCATCACCACTCGATGTACAAATCTTCGGTACCATTGCAAATTTGTAAAATTCTTGAATGAAAACAAACGGACAGCCAACATGCATAGCTATAGAATCTAGGTGATATCAGTCAGAAATGTTTACATTCGTTTAACTAAATCCTCATCTTTTACATGATCAAAGCCTAGGATCCTCTATTCTTCGGAACCTATCTTATATATGAACCTATGTATATAAATCAAGAAAAAAGTTGTGTGAGTAACTTGATATGATTATGAGCAATAGTTTGTGCTCGAAACGTCATCAGTTAATATTACTGTACAACACTGTGTGATTTATCAAAATAAAATCCTATCGATGATGGAGTTATATTCTACCACAGTACCCAAGTTTTATACTTATATCTTGACTTGTTTTGTCCGAGGCTTAGGTTTAGCTTATCACTATAACTGTCATCATGTTTATTCCTCTGTATGTCTCTATGCAGATTTGATCTTACTATTTACATGGTATGGACCAAAGTCAGTGGTCGCATATCTACTTAAAAATTATATAATACTGCACTTTTGAAATAGAAACGAGATTTGATACCTTCACACTCCCGAAAATAGACACTATTAGTTAGACAGATGCGACAAAAAAATTCCTTTACAGATGAACATTTTCAGAAGTAAGAAAGCTATTATTTATGCAATGGAACAATTACATTTCGATGAAAAGGAACTAATAAGCAATAAACAAAGACACTGACAATAACAGAAATGACAATAATGTCTGAAAATTAATTAAAACAAGACCATGTCTCGTTATGAAAAGCGCACCAAGAATGTATATTGCAATAATCAAGACACTCCATTCAAGCTCAGGCAACCATGTACAAAATTATGGATAATTGTATGTAAAGTAAAAACGAGTAGTGATGTCCATCAGGGATGTCAGCTATTGTCATTCTTATTTATTTTCACTATGTATGCACTAATGAATGTTAACCTGGTTGACTTTTATCCTTAAGCGCATTGATCTACTACTGGTAGAAATTCTGGTGGACCCAGAATATGGAGAAATGTAGTTCTTCTAGGTGGAGATTACGATAAAGTACAGTCTTCCAAAAGGCTGGAGCAGAAACCTTAATAATGATGATTGCTGTTAAGTATTATGTAAGAAGCGAAGAAATGTTTACTTTTTAATTAGATTGTAGGAAACATCGAACCTTTGAACTTTTGTTTCAACGCGTTCACCCACTTTTGTCGCTACTTCATCTTTTGATTTGTGACTCTCCTGTATATAGTAGGTTTGCTCTCTCGTTGTGCTTTCATTCAGTGCACTCTTCGAGCCTACCACCGGTTGAGGCAGCAGATAAGTTGTATAACACCTTTATTTACTAAATTTGATATTTCATTTGCGTAAAATACAACTCCATCTCAGACACACTTCCCATCTCAATTCTTTTTACTTTGATTCCGTTCGTCAGTACTTACACGTTAGGTAGAGTACTGCTAAGGTTATAAAGCGGTGAAGCTTTTAGTAGGTGTGGTTATTTTGAAGTATATCTTAAGTTCAGTCAAACACTTACAATATCTCTGGCTCTACTCCAATATATATATATGCAGAGAGAGAGAGAGAGAGCATTTTTATTACAATACACAACAATTTACCAATCAAATGGCGATAGGTTTGTTAACAATATTTAGTCAGTGTCAACATGTCAATAGGGTGATAATTAACGAAGTAAATTAATACACACAATTAAAAGGTAGAAATGGTTACAACACGTGGATTGCATTATGCATAATTTTGGTAAAACGAAGAGTAATTAAGGGATCGGCGTGTGCACAGGTTCTTAAGGTAATTAGACAATGATAACTTTTAACTAAGGTTTAAGTATTCAGGAGAAAATAAAATAATTTCGACAATTGTAATTTTTAAAGGTTTACGGGGTGGGGGGCGAAGCAGTCCGGTTTACGCATTCATGTGTTTAGAAGAAATTTTTACAGCCAGAGATGAGGATCTAATTGAAAAGTAGATATTTCTTCGCTCAATCTTTCTGTTTTCTAAATTTCTAAATGGAGATTTTTTCTATACGAAGAAGAAAAAGACAATCAATGAGGTTGTGAAGTTACATCAACAGAGAAGACAAAGACATGCCTCACACATTCCGAAGTGCCACCTTTCTAGAAGAGTGACGTTAACTGGATTTGAAAAGAACTAAGAGGGTGGTTAGACTAAAATAAAGTGATGTCAATTCATGATGAAATCTTCCATCCAATCAAACAAAAATTTCTACAAAACCAATACTTGAAGACTAAAATATACCATCAGTTCGTTAATCCAGTGACTGTTGGTGTAAGTAGCCCGTTCAGGGTTCTCGAAGCGGTGAGAATCACATGGTGGAGGATTTTTGTGGCACAGCTCAAAATCTTTCTCAATGGCCCAGATGTATTCACCCATTTCCTGTCGTTATCCGAATTCCATACATCCTTGCTAAACTTGATCTAATTATACACTGTTTTGTTGTAGTTTTATTGCATTTATTCCCAACACTTTTATGTCCAGTTTTCCGAAATGTGACAACTTAGACTTATGAAGTTTGCTGTAGACTTCTGTTTCAATAATTTCACAAAAAATAATTATTTCACTTAGTGAATGGTTTTACGATCTTTGTATAAAAAAAAGATACTTTTCATTAAAATCCTTATTATTGTACTGAGAGCACAAGCATTCTTTTTTTGAAAATCACCTCCATCAACACTATGACTATCATTCACAGCAGCACTGATCCATGAAGACTGGAAACAAATGCTTGGTTAGTTCTCTACAGATTTTCCTCCTACTGTTTTACAATTTTTGAAAATTTATTTGTCCTAGTTTATACTTATTTCTTCATTCGAATAAATGAAAAGAAAAAAAAGAACACAATTTTTCAGTACTAAAAGATGTGTATTAAAGGATTACCATGATCACAAAGCGAATCGAAAGAACAAAAGAGTTGGATGGAATTCACTTCTGATCAGATACATATTGGACGAAGTAAGTACAGACAGATAATCGAATAAACTATTATTATTATTATTTTATTACTGTTATTATTATTATGATGATGATAATTGTACCTAACACACAGAATGAAAAATAACGGATTATTGTAATGAGTCGCGGTGTGATTATTACAATACGAAACGAGAGGCGGTTGTGCATTTCAAGGATAATTAATAACGGGAGAATGAACTAGGAAAATAAAAATTACGTAAGAGATTAAAAATAACTGTTGTGATTACCAATTATCATGATAACGGATACAAAATAATATGTTGACAGACAATGTAATAAATATTGCAGTACATATATATATATATATTCAGGAGGAAATTAAATTTATGGAGAAACTAAAGACAAAAGACACAGTAGCTTGGAATGTATCGTTGCATTGTTTACATTTATATGCTGGCCACTTATTGGGATTTTTTAAAGAAAGATTTAAATTCATTTAACTAAAGTAAAATCATTAACTGAAGACTCTAATCGGGATAATAATGTAGATATGCATTGTTTAGCATTTTGTAATCCTGCTTTTTCTATAGTTCTACCAATTATTGAACCCCATATTAAGGAGAATAGTACAGCACCAAGTATTACTTCTAGTGAACACTTCATTAGTGAAGTTAACCAACCAGTTGGATTAATTAGAATGATTAATACGAATAACAGAAAGACAATTACACCTGCCCATGTTAAATGCAATAGTCGACCATGTAAACACTGATTTAATCCACGAGTTAACTGTTTATCTGCATCTGATAGTAGATCACGTAACTTATTCACCTCTTCTGTTGACATGCTTTGCTCTTCTAAATTAATTTTTTGTCAAAGAAGAAAATAATTTATTCAACAGTCATTAGCTAAATAATAAGCAAAGAGTGCATTGACAAGCTGATTAGCTTAATAAATAACATTTTTAAATTAAAACAATAAATTTCTATTATACTTAAACAGCTACTGTAAAAAAGGGCCGATATTTATTGAGTAACACCTAGATACATATAAATAACGCACATGTTTCAATGACGTAATCAGTGAGAATGTACAGCCTAACAAACTGTATGGTTTAAATTTGTGGTATGACTTATTTTTCTTTATGTTATGAATGCTGTGATACAACTAGCTGTAGTCCTTCTTACATACTTCACTGTCTACGTTTAAATTACAGACACACACCAACACGAATTGAATGAATTTCAACAGTAATATTTCACCAATATTTAGCATTACTTTACAACATCTTTTGGACTTCACAATATGTCCCATCATATAATTGAAACAACTCAATAATGGCCAAGGTTTTAGAATGTTTATAAACACAGTAGAATAAAGATGACAGAAACACAGTGTATAGATGCCATCCTCTATGATGGATTGACAAAAGTTGGCAATCATATTTCCAACAGTCACTAGAAAATAAGACTTTCGTCTCTATAACTGATAATTCTTATTTCAACTGCTAACATAGATATTGGGTGCCAAATACTGAAAAACTGTGAACTGGAAGGAGCTGTTGTCCAATAATTCTTTCTCTTAAGTGAATCCCTATTTCATATCGGTTCCTGGATAAAATAAGTCTCAATATCAAACAAATCTTAGCAAATTCAACTAAATAACTGCATAGGTCTAGTCACTACTTAAGGGGCTGAATGTATGAAGTGATTAGACTTTCACTGAAATTATTATTACGCTAAGTTATATCAATAAATAATTTTGCACTTAATGTGACAGTAAATTAAATATTATATATATATATATAATGGAAAAAAAGAACAAAACTAACCAAGTTTAGTCGGATTGGACAGTCGCGTAATAGTGAAACTAGCAGCTACACCTTCATGATCAGAATAATGTAAACCATGCGGATCATCAGGCACCTTACGCATATCTAACCAACACGAATCACAGACAAGTTTCGCGTAAGCTGAAAGACACACACACACAAAAGGGAAATTATTCAGTTTATATTAATCTTATGGCAATAGATAGTGCACCAGCCTCACACTGGAATAACTAAACGCTATCTTAAAAAAATTAATAATAGCCCACTGAAGGCGAGAATCAGAGATATTTCAAAACTGGAAAATCACTCCACTTCACTAACACCAGATAAATGAACAGTAACATAACAAGGAGATCAATAAAATCAGAATATCTCTACTTCAAAGTATGATATGTACTAAAAATGTTTATTGAACAGTCCAATTCCATAACCACCCTGTAAATCAAGCATAACAGCTGTTCAGTTTAAATAGAAATCATTAGACTGCACAAACACTATATTAATTAATGCAGATGAATGAAAATAAATACATGAGAACAATAAAAGGATATAGCACTATCTAAAAAATTGACCCATGTAGGTACACACCACATGTGTTGGCAACCGGCTTGAACCACTGTGCTACCTGAATTTCCATTCAACACAGTACATAATATTTTCTCTCGTTCTTGTATCAATATTTCAATCATGTCCTTGAACTGAAAAATGCACTCAGGCACGTTTTTAGTTGACCTTCAAACTGCCGGTGCGCATTACTTGGAGAGGAAGGAAAAATATCACAACGGATTAGTCTGTGCTTCAGACAGAGCAGCATTGCGTCACATGGTATATTGAAGATAGCTGCTTTACTTGAAGATCCCAGATGAAAAGAAAATAATATGCAACAAATTACGTTGAGAACTCCAAACACTGTGTCTGTCTGTTTTCGACATAGAACTTTGCACCGATGTGCAGCGGTTTAAGTCGCCACACTCCATGTAGCACACAAAGCAAGAGAAGAAAGTAGAAGAAATACGTATTAGAGACAGTAAACAGAGGTGTGACACAAAGGACAAAACACTGTGTAAACATTTTGTCCAGAATATAAGCTTCCTATTATTATAGTCACGTAAAAAAGTGTTATGAGCTACTTATAACTGGTATATAAGTAGCATACAGACTGACGTCTCTGGAAAAAGAAAGATAATTTAACTGTAAGTTGAAAAGCAGCACCAGAAGACACATGAGAGCAGGCTAACAATTCCAAGGAAAACTAAATAAATGTCACGTAATGATGGGCAAAAATTCCCTAATCCAGAATGGCAGGTACTGTTTGCACATATTGCAGTCAAGGCATACTATACGGCTTAGTTAAGCTTCATTGTAATTTGTCCTGTTCCCATCAGAAAGAATAAGAAACAGGGTGGCGAAACAACCACACCACACAACTGAAAGTTTTTGAATCCTGTAAGACAAAAGAAGGTACTATGAAATAAAGAAATTCGATATAGAAATTGGAATTAAAAGATGAGCTGTGAGTCCATATGCGCCGCTGATACTAACTCTGAGTCAAATCAAAATTTCAAATCATAGCTTCTAGTCGTCTTATGAACCCCAACTATACAGCATACATTCCCTACGCATTTAAGTCACAAAGTGTATACGTACCACAATAAACTTCTGAATACCATTCTAATAAGCCTTTACCGGTTATTGTTTGCTAACATTAGTAGATTTACAAGTGTAGACCATGAGGAATTTAGTGAAAGAAAATATTGTTCACTGTAATTATTCTCTGTCTGATTTGCCCTTTGATGCGACCCACCTTCTTTATGCCAACCTCATTCTCCTTCCGCATACAAAACACATTCGGAGAAACTGTAATAAAACTTATGTCATGCATTTTCCAATTAACAGAAATAGTTCTGCATCTAGATATTATATTGTTCGCCGAGTGATATATTAAGGGATAAGATAATCAATGATTATTTGAAATAGTCGAGCAAGGTACGTTAAGTGTCCTAGAAAATAACCTTTAATCATTCTTTAACTAGCTAAAGTATATGTGCAACAGGTATTCTGTCTAGTTAATGCTTGTATGTACATTCTGATTTTATGTACATGTGCAACACACTTACTCTTATTTAGATGTACATGTGAGTATATTGATAAAAATTTTAGCATAAATCAAAACACATTAGTGCATGTAAACGATGCATACTTAGCAATGTCACATGATGTGTGAGTAGATTCTATTTTCCATGCTTTAAAAGCGTAAAATTCGAAACTACATAGTAGTAGTATCACTGAACTTTGATATGTTGAACGCTTTATCAACTGATAGAAATGGCATTCTACCTCACAGAATAGATTTTAGCCATCACATTCAACAACAGTGATATAAACTCGAAAAATAAAACGAATATTACTGAGCATTAAGTCTAAAAAACACGAGTTTGTCTGTAATAATGTAGTGTATAACAACTGTGGGCATAGATTTTAGTTCATTACCATTGAAAATATAAGAAAATAAACAGCGATGCAATGGCAAATTACAAACACACTGGAACATTGGGGAAGAGCAAAAAGGATGTGGTTGCATGGAATTCTAGTGACAAGTAGTGACCAGTGGAATCCATCCGATTGTGAGTGAGGACACACTCGCCGATGACATTGGCTGGTGGTTGCATTAAAAGCACGAATTGGTAGAAGTTGAGATTCAAGGGTCACTGAGTCCAGTCTACAAGCTTGTCCCATTATCTGAAAGTCTTGGGTAGTGCCTACTAATGATGAGTTTATAACTAGGACGAAACAGTTAACCGGTACTCCCTGGTTTTCAATGGTTCTCTAAATGATATCAGTCCGTGACCAAACATGAAAGGAAAATCAAAGATATACCAGTAGGCATCCTCATTGTGCATTTGTTAAACATTTAATATTTACAGTATAAAAAGTATGCACATTGTTCAACCGATATATATATATATATATATATATATATATATATATATATCATTTTCAACATTAATACGATAAATATTACACTTATTTTAATGCTTCAACTAAGAGAAAATGGAGAGGTAAAAATTCACGTATTTCATTTCATGTCTAAGATCCACCACTTTTGCAGTGTGACGCATGACATGCATTTAAAACAATACAATGTGTATACACATGCACACCTATACAATAATCAAACCTACATTTATAAAGCATCATGAATAAACTGCTTCAATTATCGCGGTTGTAAGTGGAGGTCTTTTCCTCAATGTTACATTAAAAACAAAAACTTCATTTCATCATGTTCTCAGTGAACAAAAAATGTTTCACTTTTCCATAAAACTCACTTGAACTAAAATTGTCACCGAGCAGTTTTACATTATTACACAGTGGGGCATAATAGTGTTGGTCATTATCATAGAAAACACCATGACTATCCCACTATACAGTTTCTAATGCTAGTTATTTTTTTTGTATTTATTATGCACTGAATAAACTATATGACATTAAATATTGTTTTAATGAAAAGGTACTCAGAATCTCTCAAAGTAATTCCAGTCTTACTAATATTCATGCTTTGAAATCTAAAACAAACTAGCAGTTTAAGTTATTCTTCCTTAAATTCCTCAAAATAGCAAAACAACAGCCTGTGCAAATAATACTGGAAGAAAATATTCATTTACACGGACAAAATACTCATGATGGAGTTTTCATAATCACCAGTTGATGTTTGTCAGTGAAGCTATTAACAATCTAAGCTTGTATCATAATGACAACTTTCACAGTATTATAATCTGCATACGGCCACTTTACACACTTTCACTGGAAAATAATCGACTTTAGTGTTCTGATCACAGGTCGATTTTCTAGAATCAGTGATGTGTAGACAGTAGCTAATAAGTCTGCAATTACTTTGAGTTACACAGGTTCGACTCTAACAAGCTTATAATCAGTCCATCTCAGTTGAAATATACGCAACGTACGGAGGAGAAAAAAAAATTTTTGAAGAGAAATAAGCATATAAAAACTTTTGAAATGAGTGCTTGAAACTTCTTTCCTCAAAATTTACTCTTTTCGTAATTATGTTTTGTACTTTACAAAACTATACAACTTTGTTTTGAAAATGATGGAGGACATGAGCTACCTATGTATGTTTTAATTTTAAGAACACTCAAAAGAAAATCTTTTGTATTTCATTTTTTGGATATGCACAGAGAAACCAAGTCATTTTAAAGCTGTTTTAAAACAATAGGAAATTTACGTTAGCTATTAATGACTTTAAAATTTACTCCTGCTAATAAGTACTTCAAGTAGGATTTCATGGTTAACAACTTGAAAATTAAGTGAGTACACAACCTGGTGATGAAAAAGGACTCTATTGGCTGAAGATAAATTAATTTTTAGGAGTGTTTGAATTCTCATTCTATTATCCAAGTAGCCTAATGAATATTATATAGGTACTAAAAACGGTGCAATGGTTGATCACAAAATCTAACCAGCTTGGATTATACATGAGAGCAAACTTTTCCACAAATGAGTTGGATAAAATAAGCTGTTATTTATTATCTAATTTCCAAATAAATTCCGGATGATAACTATGTTTGGAACCAGATTTTCCAATGAATAAGCTGCTTTACATTAAAAATTATCACTCCGACACAACAAACTTATATAATTTTGAAGCATTTACATACATACAGACAAACATGCTCTGGCGCTAACATTCACTAACACACCTGGCTAATTTTTCAGTGAGCCTAGAAAAGAACACAGACGCATCACTAAAGCACATTTCCAATTTCTCCAGTCATACTGAATTATTTATGTGAGTGCTTTTGGAAAACGTTCGGTTGCCTCTAGCCAGGAGTATTTTTGAACTAACACTTCACCAGTAACTCTATCAGAACTCCTTTTCTTTTATAAATCACTGATTGACAAAAACGATGCATTTATTTTGGTGCTTTTCAAATACACTTTTTAACAAAAACTGACATAGACTTCACATAATTTCTATTGTACCCAGGCAATTTTACAATAATCTAGTGAATTAAATCGCTCATATATGTATATACCTGAAATAACGTCAATAAACTAATCTTTCTTCAGTAGTGAGACGAAAATAACACTATGGTAGACCCAGTAAATTCTCTTTACAAATTATG